CTCCTTGATATGCCACCCTTATAACAAATGGACACCTCTCCTTGATATGCCACCCTTATCTCTTCAAAACATTTATAAAAAATAGTTCCAAATAGACCGCAGTCATTGGAAACATTTTCAGATCAAAAACATTTATATCAAAACTTCATTTTATGATAAAATAACAATTTTTGATCAAGCCACAAAATATCATTTCAAATTTGATCAACAAGTCCGATCAATCAAATCCGGTCAACACTCATCCGGATAACAAGTCCGATCAACCAAATCCGGTCAACACTCATCCGGATAACAAGTTCGGTCAACCAAATCCGGTCAACACTCATCCGAATAACAAGTCCGGTCAACAATGCCTCATCCATATTAACACTTGGAATAAAATCCATTTTGTTGTCCGGATATCTAATCCGGTTAATCATACCACACACTTGCTAATCGGTTTAACACTTAGAACAATTTCAAGTTTGTCCGGATAACAAATCCGGACACTAGYCCGTTCAACTCTCATCCGGTTTAAAGATAAATCGTTCAACACTCAACCGGTTTAACCAACTCCGGACAACAAACCGCTCACGGCTTGTCCGGTTTATACTAATYCGGTTACTAAACCGCTTAAAGCTTAGCCRGTTTTAAAAACAATCCGGACAATACCCTGTACAAGGCTTGTCCGGTTTACACCCTTATCCGGTCAAGCTTTGTCCGGATAACACTTAGAACAAAAATAAACATGCTMTCTTCAAATAAGAATAATAYGAAGCATGTAATTGRAACCAGTAGGATTTTAATACAAAAARGTTTAAAAACCACTCACCTTATAAAGCTTTTGAACACAAAATGCTTGAAATCAACCTTTTGAAATCCAACTCYTGCAAAATAGCTTGAAATCACCTTCTCTTAACAAAYCGGACAACACTCTTTAGAGCTCTCAACTCTCTCAAAAATGGCAGGAAACCTCAAAATAAAGAGGTGAAGCCTCTTTATACTTTCCCAAAATGGAAAGGGTCGGCTATAAACCGCCTTCCAAACCCAACTCCACCTCATGCATATAACTTAATCACATGCATACATGCACGTATGCATACCACATGCACACACATCAACACATATGCATATACATACATATATATATATATATATTCTCACATATATATATCTACATCCAATTAAATCACAAATTTTCATACTGGCATGTATCAAATTATCATGCTATCATGAAATCATTTAGTCAAATATTCACGTATTAATTACCTTGGGTAATAACCAAGATCTGGTTATCACAGTTATCACAAAAATGTTAAAATAAAAACTATACCGAGATGGATTTCAAATTGAAAAGAATGAAATGTTAGATTTTTCGATGTAATTTATTTGATTAAAATATTCATTATTTTTAAAATAATTTAGTTTAACAATTAAAGGGTAAAAAGAATTTAATTAAAAAAGAAAATAAAAAATCAAATATGGTAGGTGTAAATCATAACTTCCATTTTCGCCCCTAATTGATTTATTTCCTAAAATTTTGATCAATGGTCAAGATTTATTCTCATGTTTACAAAAATTTTGTGGTGTTTATTTTGAACATATATACATACATATATATATATATACATACACTACAAAACACACACACACATACACACACACACACACAGATATATATATATATATATATAGGAGAGGTTTACTTTGGAAACCACGTTATTCGTACAAACCATGCAAACCTCATTCAACCAATCATAACTTTTTCATTTTTTTGTAATTATGAGAGGTTGATTAGTCATTTTTTATTGTGGAGAGTGTTAATTATAGATATTATCATCTTCATTATATTAATTTTAGATAAATACATGAAACAATTTCATTAAAATATAGAAATAACTATATATGAAACAACGTCATCAAGAAAAGTATTATATTAAATAATTTCATAAGATTAAACAATTTTATTAAATTAAACAATGAAATCGACGGATGACGATGAATATAGCCGGTTTGTATTTGATCGCTCCCCTATATATACATATAATATATACATATACATATACATACAGTGGCGGACGCAGAAAAATATATTGTAGGGGGCATGATATAAGATAAAATAATAATTAACTTCAATTTCATACAATAATGATAAAAAGTTACCTTTTACAACTGTGCCCTACGACTTTTCATCTTTTGAAATTGAGTAATTACATCATCATTTGAAACTGCGAGAAGTGCTTCTTTTTCTATAGTATATATCATTGCAGCATTCAAAAATTCATCACCGATTTTGTTGCGCAAATTTGACTTCACAATCTTCATAGCAGAAAAGTATCTTTCGACTGTTGCGGTAGCAACTGGCAACACCAAAGCCAACTTCAATAACCGATATACTAGAGGATAAGTTTTATGCTTTTTTGTTTCCACTAGCAATCTAGAGAGCTCGACAATACCACTCAAATTGGCAAATCTTTTATCTTGACGCACAATTAAATAGTACATGTTAAATTGTTTCTCAAGAGCGATCCTTTCCATATGACTAAAATCTTGAGAATACAACTCACTCAACTTCAATAAATCTAATACATTGAACTGCGAAAATGAATCGCATGGACTTAAAGCTGCTATATTTTTAATCAACTAAATCGATTCCCAAACTCTTGAATTTGCCTGTCCACAACAGTGTTGAAAATATCAAACTTGTAATAATGACAATTGGTGATGTTGGTCCTTTGTCTTCCATTTTTTGAATAACGGTCTTCCATATCCAAAGCTTTAATACCATTTGCTTCACAAAAAGAATACATTTTCTTCAAAAGTGGATCAAAACTAGTTTCTCTAAATTATTGCAATAGTTGTTTGGTTCCTCTTATCAATAAAATATGAAACATCAAATGCAAATAAATCACGAAATCAAATGTCTTCAAATATGCTAAAATACCAGTTGCTTGAGTGCGACTAAAGCCATTATCCCCGTCCTCTTCAACATACTGGAGCACTTCAACAACATTTGGAAACAAAGCAATCAATCTCAAAATGGTTTTGTAATGAGAACCCCACCGTGTATCTCCGGCTCGTATAAGAGAAAGCTCTTGGTATTTCCCTGTTCCAGTATCAATTTCACACTTACCAATTGCTTCTTGCACTCTATCTTTGTAACTTTGTCGAAGCATGACTTTACGCTTACAAGAAGCATTCACCACATTGATCACCATTCCTAACATATTAAAAAAGTTCTCAACTCCGTCATACTTATTTGCTACCGCTACAACGATTAATTGAAGTTGGTGAGCAAAACAATGGATATAATATGTCGAGCTATTTTCATTCAAGATCAAGGCCTTTAATCCATTGAACTCACCGTGCATATTGCTTGCTCTGTCATAACCTTGCCCTCTTACCTGTTTCAAACTCAATCCATTTTCAGCAAATAAAGTATCAATGGCAGATTTAAGAATTGAAGAAGATGTCCCCGTCACATGAACAATACCAAAAAATCTCTCYTTAACAATACCACGTGCATCAACATATCGTAAAACCACCGCCATTTGTTTCTTCTTAGAAACGTCACTAGACTCATCAACTAGCAATGAGAACACATCATCACCAACTTCTTTACGAATGAAGTTGAGTATTTGATTTGCAAACAAGCAGCAATATCTTTTTGAATACTTGGAGACACCATTTGATTATTCTTTGGAGCATTTTTTAATATAACTATACCTACATCCTCCTTGCAATCACCAATTAAGGCTAATATTTCTAAGAACATGCCTTTAGAAATAGACATTTCATATTCATCGTGACCGCGAAAGGGCAATGCATTCTTCAACAAGAATCTACAAGCCTTAATTGAAGCATTTAATAGTATTCGGTGCTCATTCTTCTCCTTCTCAGTTTGCTTATGAAAGGCAACGGCAATAGATCGACCTTGGCTCATTAGATCCTCATCTTTCTTAAGTGCTCTATTGTGAAAACTATTAATGTCGCCAACATGAAGACCTATTGATCCTCTCTCTCAGTGATTTGATAATAATCCCTTTCCACTTATACGTTGTATTTATGTTTCTGTATTTTCAGTTCCAGCGATCTTCACTGAGTATGTTCAGTGATCGCTGAAGAACTTGCTTTACAAATCTATCAGAGAGAGCAATACTTTAAGAAGACAACACTCACACCAAAGAACCTTCAACAAACGTCGAAGACTGAAACTGAAGATTAGGGATTAGCGAGTACGTGATCTGAAGCGGTACTCAGTTATTACAAGTCTGTCTATAAATGTGTGAATACTGCTCAAGCTTCAGCGAATRATGATGAGACCTTCAGGTCATTCCAACATTCAGGGATCAAAGGAAGCTTGCTTAGCACGATTGTTGTTGTCTTGTCCTTATGCACACAAAGGACAAAAACCATACCTTTACAAAAGTTAGTACGGTACGGAGCCGACTAGTCGACTCTTTGTCCACCAACTTTAGGTAAGAATGTCTGCTCATAAATAGTGTTTTTTTACTATTCACTATAGCAAAGGACAAGCCTTCCTCTTAAGGCTTGACACGCACTCTAACCCTACCATATTGCATTAAATGAGCATTTAATGCACTGAGTATAAATAGAAGTGTTTCTTCTCCATGCAGAGTGCGCGCAACTCACTCTCTAACCCTAATTCTTACTTCAAGCATTTTCTAGCTTAAGTGAATGATCTTCTTTACAACAATTACATTTCTTGTAATTTGTTAAGGTTTTGTGTGTAACGAAAGATTGTTTAGATAGGTTTTTATTACCTTATCTTTCCGCAAACAATCTTGTAAAATCTGTATTGATCTTCTCTATCAATATATATTTACAATTTGAAAATATTGTGTTTGTATTCATCTCCCCTTTCTACAAGCTGTTTCTCTTCTTGTAGACCCTCACGGGAGCAACAAGTGGTATCAGAGCAGTGTTTTCTTTCTTTTCTTGTGTTAGCTGTTTTTTGTATTAGCTTATCTCCTTTCTTAGATAACTTTCCGCTTACAAATGGCTTTACAAATTGCAAACACACACACAAGATAATGGCTCTCTTGCTAAACCTCCCCGGTTTGTCTGTGACAACTTTAGTCTCTAGAAGAACCGGATGTCCCTCTTTCTGGAAGGTGTGGATCCTAAAATTCCACATTACATAGAAAATGGACCATATATTCCATTTGCTATTGCTCCAACTGTTCCAGTAACAGCTACGACTGCCGCGATTCCTGAACGGCAGATTCCAAAGCTTCCACATCAGTAGAGCGATGAGGACAAGAAGAAGATAACTATAGACACGCGTGCTCGATCTATAATAGCTATGTCTCTTCCCGATGAGATTTATCACTTAGTAATGAAACTCAAAACCTCTAAATCCATGTGGGATACACTCTGTGTCCAATATGAAGGAACCACTCAGGTTCAGGAGACTAGAAAGATCAATCTAGTAAGACAGTATGAAAGCTTTCTCTGTGGAAAGTTGGAGACGCTGTCTGAAGTACATTAGAGATTTAACTGTCTTCTTATTGATCTTAGGGCTGTCGGCAGGGAATATTCTAATTCTGAAACTTTGACTAAGTTTCTAGAATGCCTTCCTGAGTCTTGGGACACCTTTTCCATGTGTCTCAAGATGTCAAATGACATGTCCACTCTTTCTCTTTCTACTTTATACGGGATTCTGCTTAACCATGAGCAATCTYGTCAACTRAAAARGAATCTTGTAAAAGAATCCARGGAAATKAAAAGYTCTCCTTTAGCTTTGATCTCTGAAGCTTCTTCAGTTGAAACTTTCTCTACCCCTTTTGTTTCTTCTCTTCCTCCTGTGGTCATCACGAAGATAGATTCTTCTGAGGATGTTCCAGAATCTGATTTAACATATTTTGATGAGTCCCTGGCACTCCTGACTAAGTCATTTAGGAGGTTCGCCAGTAAGAGCAACTTTCGCAGATCTCCTCAGCTATCCCTCAGGGAGAAGCCAAAGTCTGAAAGAATAGACAAGGCTTCAGCTGTCTGCTACAACTGTCACCAGATCAAAGAAGACTGTGATGCCATCTTCTAAAGCTCCTTCCTCCTTCAGGATCAAATAAGAAAAGTACTTAAAACTGAAGGAGAAGTACAAGAAGATGAAGAACAACCAGCGAAAGGCTAAAGGCCTTATTGCTGAATAGCATGACTGGGCTGAATCATCTGATGAATCATCTACTGATGAAGAGGATAAAGCCTATGTCTACTTGATGGCCATAGATGTTGATGAAGGATCTTCTGAAGCGTCTACTTCCTCTGAGCCATCTTCTTCTTCTACTCAGGTATGTTTCCTGAATGAACCCTCTTCTTCTTCTAGTCTTTCTGCACTAGATACGCTGACGGTTGACCTTTACAATGCCCTCAATGGCAAATCGAAAGTTGAGATGCTTAACATTGATTTTCAAGAGCAATTGAAGATTTGCCATTCGAAGATCAAAGAACTGACCTCTGTTGAGGAAAATCTTAAATATCAGGTCACTGTAAACCAAGCCATCACTGTTGAACGTGACAAGACTATCGTTGAGCGTGAGCGAGCAATCACTGAACTCAAGGCCGAGAAAGCTACCATTGAAGGGTGGTGCAAAGCTTCCATCAAGGCCTCTAAGATCATTAACACTCAGATCCCCGCCAAGATAAAGACTGGTCTAGGATTTTCCTATGATCAAGAAGAATGTGTTAAAGACAGAACCATGCTCAAGTTTGGTACCTTCGTCTCTTCTATTCCCAACACTTCTTCCTCTCAGTCCTCTTCTTTTACTGAGAGTCATCTTGAAGGAACTCCTTCGAGTTCTGGGTGCAAAGACAAAGGTAAATCCATTATCACAGCATCCCTTCCCAAGAAGTCTAACAAGATTAATAGAT